ATTGCACACGTTCACACCACAGCGATAGCCGTGAAGAAAACTGTGGAGGTTGTGGTGCATGATGTTGATGCAGTGATTGATGTCGATGACGCAAGTGAGGAACAAATAACGACTACCCGTGGGAGTGTCAAACGTAAAGCGGCTCAGATCGATGTAAATGCAGAAGCGGAAGGTAAGCATTAGCAAAAGTGAGGTCTCAATGTGCTGTGCACGTAGTGTTTTCTGATTGATATGTGGGTGTATGTTACCGTGTACATCATTGAAAAACATCTGGGCCTGCATGTCTTGTATAGGTGCTTCCGGTTGAGAACTAGTAAAGACCTGGGACAGTTGATGCTTGGCTGAAACTGAGAGTCCAACCTTTTTGTTTATCGGGTACTGTAGCATGTAGTATCCTAATCTAGTACTCTATTACATGTATACCCATACGCACGCAAATAGAACCCGAGAGCGCTGAAATGATTGTCGCAGCAACCGCGGCATCGACTGAGCTTAGCAGTGCAGTGAAAGTACCCCACTACCGACGGCTGCCATCTGCATACTCGCGTACGATCGAGTCCGAAGTGCCTGATATCTGTAAGACCGAGCCATGTCGCCTGGGCATAGACGAAGCTGGAAGGGGTCCTGTGTTGGGTATGTTATCATATGTGCCCCCTACTTGGGATTGATAGTAGATATATTCTTGTATGTATAGATGGACTTAGTGGTGTATCTATGACGGAGTTTGCCATCCCCCTGCCCGTGTATTATTAAATCCGAAGTGCCCGGTATCTGTATGATTGAGCCATGTCGTTTGGGTATTGGTAGGGCTGGAAGGGGTCCTCTATTAGGTATGTTTATATAGTGCACGTGGTTTTGGATATACGGTAGGTATACTATTTCATATACAAGCAGACATATTAGTGTGTTTTCAATGTTTCTGTTACATTACCGCACGTATGCGTACTTATGAATGAGATGTTCTCGATATTCCTAAACAAGAGCTATGAAATCTGAAATAATCATGTATTATGTTATTGAGAAATGCATCCGCGAGATATTTCACCGGATAGTTAGTTCCGATACCAGTTATTTAGCACAACCTATACCACTTTCTTGTCCTGCTATCTATTGTTGCTATACCTATATACTCAACTCCCCTATTGTATCTGCATTTAAACCGATTAGAGGTAGAACGTGAAGTTTAGTTTCAACATTGTTAATAATATGCAATCCACACACAAATCTACCCACAACACAGGACCTATGGTATACGGCACTGCTTTCTGTCCCATATCCAAGTTAGATGAGCTGCGAAAAATGGGATTTGCTGGTATGCTTCTGATCTGGGTTTGTATTTGTGTGAGAGATGTGTCGGTAACCGGTACCGCACAGACTTGGCGTTATATATTGTATGTGTGCGAGTGTTCCTGTGTGAGGCATATCTACAAACCGAATGCACCTCACAACTACAGTTTTTCGAGTCGCTTTAGGGCTGCTATTTGGAAAATCTACTGCGTGTCAGGGGATGCGAAACTAGGCTCGCATGACATGCTGTGGATATGCTCACGCCAATCAGACACCCAAGCACACAAACGAGCATGCATGACCTGTAACAGACTTAATCCTGGTCCTCGCGTGACGATTTAACGTACCCTGCATACGGCAACTACTGCCACAGATTCCAAGGTGCTCAAAGAGGAACAACGTGATGCCTTACTCGAGGTGATCAAAGACAACAACGACATAATTGCCTGGAATGCCAGGGTGCTATCTCCACAAGACATCTGCGGCAGCAGTTTACGGAAGTATGTGTGTGATTTGTGTGTACGTCCGGTATGGGTCCATATGTGAATACTTTTGGTGCGTATATGAATATCGTTTGCAAATTATGTGAGCGAGCGAAATTAAGTTAAAACATATACATACCAATGAACGAATAAGTTTTTACATGTATACAAAAGTGCATTCCGTACCTCGGTCGTATTTTGTTTATTGTTAAGTAGAATATACCTATGCAAACTGTGTGCCACTCTATGCCTGTCCTGCATATACATATCAGTTTTACATATACATCTTAGTTGCCATCAGGGACCAGAAGGTCCTCACAAATTTTCAAGAATACACCCAAGTGCGCGAACACATTTGCAAGTTTGAATATATATTCTCTGTATCTGTCAGTACAATATTATATTCAGATATATATTCCACATTTTATGATATGTTACCTTGCGAATACGGCATCGACTTTTTTTTTGCTGAGTTGGTCAATTAGATGCTCTCCAATGTCTCTACAACATAACCTGCTTTAGCTTTGTCAGAGCCACGCACATATCTCACAAACTTCATAGTGCACTACACGCTGGCGTCACAAAGACCCTTAAGACAGTCAACCCATTTTATTCGAACCCTTATACGCTGTGCTCTCTCTCGCGATTAAGAGAAAAAGCAGATTAAACGCCATATTACACTTTGATAGGAGTTCCCATACGTTTACCGCGCAAAGATGTATACCACTCAAGACCATGGCACACTTTGATAGAGTCCTTACCCCACATATCCCGTTCTCTTCGCACAAAATCGAATACAAAACACCAAATCATATTTTGATACGCGTCGTCATACTATATATCCTATTCTCCTCGCACTTAAACAAATGCAAGCTAAATGCCAAATCACACATTGCTATGAGCGTATTCACTATATTTGCCATCCTGTTCACACCGACAAGCATATGGCAGAGAATGTCACATCGTATTTTGATCAGTCCGCATACTATTTTCCTCATTCTTTTCGCACAGAGATGAATACAGCCTAAAGGTCAAACCATACTTCAGTAAGAGGTTACATACTCATTTATACCATTCACTTGCACAGCTATAAATACAACCTTAATATCATAGCGCATTTGTCAAGATTTCTCATACTACATATCACATTTTTTTCGTATAGATATAGATGCAATCTGAATGCCATACGAAACTTTACAAAACTCCATGCCACATCTACCATTCGCGTTGCACAGAGATCAATACACAACCTAAACGCCAAATCTAGGAGTTTGTTTACAATGTATGCCATTCTCTTCTCACAGATGTAAGTGCAATATTAATACCAGACCACATATTACCTACATCCTATGTACTGACACAATCTGAATGTCATATAACTCTTGGGCACTGGTCCTCATGCTATACATCCCATTAATTTCTCTTAGAGATAAATACAACCTGAACGCCTTGTCACACGATACGGCTATCGCGTTGATTCGTTGTGCTCTGGCCAAAGGCGCAAACGTGACAGAGGTATGTTCAATCCTCATTTTTTAAGTACTTTCGTTGTTGTTGTTGCGTGTGTATAATCTGAGTCCCTATGTAGATGTTGCTGAGACCAGGTTGGGCGTTCATGTCTATACAAAATGGGTGACCATGCTATGCAGCACCAATCCATTGAGTACATTTTGGAGAATGGCGCCAAAATTGCCTGAGTATGCCACCTGATCGGGTCTTACCATGCAGTCGCAGGCGTCTAGCTTGTCGCTCCGGGGGTACGCACGTGTCCTTTTTTATGATATTAGTCATGAGAAGCTAGAGAGTTCATTCCACATATGTATTGCCGCTGATTTGACTTGTATACATATGCCCAACTGCCGACATACAAGCACATAGCTACAGCTTGTGCAAACACTTTGATTTGAACGTAGCGTTTACATGCATGCAGAATGGGTATAGAACGTTTGGAGATATATCGGATCAGATCACGTCCAGATCTATGTATACATACGATCGAACTCTTGTAATATTTTCAAATTATGTGCATATTCTACATTTTATTCGTACATACATGGATACGTATGCTTAAATGTTTGCATAGAACTAGGAAATACACTCATACCAAGCCCCCCGATCTATACACTTACAGATATACGTTGATACAGTAGGGCATGCGGGGAAATATCAGGAGAAACTGGAGGGATTATTTCCTGGCAAGAAGATCCGGGTGGAAAGCAAAGCAGATGCCAAGTATGCGGTTGTCAGTGCCGCGTCTATTGTCGCCAAGGTATTATCATTGCGGACACAAATGTGTACCAAGATATAAGACGCTATGCATATATATATATATATATATATATATATATAAGTATGTATGGATGTATGTATGGATGTATGTATGTATGTATGTATGTATGTATGTATGTATGTATGTATGTATGTATGTATGTATGTATGTATATATGTATGTATGTATGTATGTACGTATGTATGTATGTATGCATGCATGCATGCATGCGTGCATGTATGCATGTATGCCTGCATGTATGTATGTATGTATGTATTTATGTATGTATGTATGTATGTATGTATAAATATATATATAAATATATATATATATATATATATATTGGAATGTTATCAGCAGCATATGGGTTCCCGTATATATGATTTAGTCCTCTCACAAATTAGCGTTTCCCTCAGCCCAGCCCACAAACGCACGATGTGGGGCCAGCCTTACGCTTCTAAGTAACCGGTATGCACATTGTGCATAGGATTTAGCTCAGGAGTATATGGAAGCGTAAACCTGGTTTACTAATTGGCAAAGACCAAACGGAAATGTTCACTTACAGACTCTGCGCGATGAAGAAATCAGGAATTTTCAATTCGAAGAATCCGACATGGCAAATGTTGACCGAAATTTCGGCTCGGGCTATCCAGGAGGTATTCTATCTATAGAGTACTCTAGTATAAATGTCTCTTCTATGCAAGTATCGGGTACTCTAGTATAAATGTCTCTTCTATGCAAGTATAGGGTACTCTAGTATAAATGTCTCTTCTATGCAGGTATAGGGTACTCTAGTACAAATGTCTTTTCTATGCAAGTGTAGAGTACTCTAGTATAAATGTCTCTTCTATGCAAGTATAGGGTACTCTAGTATAAATGTCTCTTCTATGCAGGTATAGGGTACTCTAGTACAAATGTCTCTTCTATGCAAGTATAGAGTACTCTAGTATAAATGTCTCTTCTATGCAAGTATAGGGTACTCTAGTATAAATGTCTCTTCTATGCAAGTATAGGGTACTCTAGTATATATGTCTCTTCTATGCAAGTATAGGGTACTCTAGTATAAATGTTTCTTCTATGCAAGTATCGGGTACTCCAGTATAAATGTCTCTTCTATGCAAGTATCGGGTACTCTAGTATAAATGTCTCTTCTATGCAAGTATCGGATACTCTAGTATAAATGTCTCTGGTATGCAAGTTCAGGGTACGCTATTATAGATCCCATATATATTAATCTGGCTTGGAAAATTTGTGACTTACAAAGCACGTGATATGGGATACGGTACCCAGTGCAGAGCATTTGAGCGCTCTGAATACTCTTGAGAGAGACCAGTGAGAAAACATATTACCATAGCTCAGTTTAAACCGCGCCAGGTTGTAGATAGAACCTCAGGAAAAAGTTCAAGCCCCGCCGTAATCAAACTAATTAGTTGCATCTCTCACTAATTCGCATCTGGTATTTTCATACTAAAACCCGCTGCGAAAGCTGGGTCAAGGAATAGCACGGCCATCAATCTATCACTAAACACTTGGCTACTGATTTCATATCAGATTTGGTTAAGGAAGAACACTAAGCCGAACCTATCATTCAATTCAACGGGTTTTGTATTAGATCCCGCTACGAAGGCATGGTTATAGTATCATAGACCCAAATTTATACTCTTGGCTACTGATTTCATATTAAGTTGAAGCTGAATATATCCTCTGTTCAGCAGATTTTGTATTACATTCCGCTACGAAGGCGTGGCTAGAAAGTATCGTCGACCCAAATCCACACTCTTGACTACTGATTTCTGTTTTAGTAATAACTAAGAAGCCGAATCTGCCACTAATCCCTCATATACTGGGTTTGCATTAGATCCCACTACGAAGGCGTGGTTAAGGAACAACATGGACCCTATCTTCGGCTTCCCGGGGTTGGTGCGTTTCAGCTGGAGTACCGTGACTAAGCTGTTGGATGAGCATTGCGCCCCTACCTACATGTAAGTGCTAGATGCTCTCACGGATGCGACTGTCTGTCGTATTCTTGATGTTGATGTCTAGCTCGTATGTATGTGTACGCATAACGTTTGTGTGCAAATGTCATGTGCGGGGCTCTAGCGTGTGTGCATGGTAGAGGTATATACATGCCTTTTTAGTAGGAGCATACTTGGCCACAGCGGAGACACTTTTATACAAATGGGCATGTATGTCTAGTCCTGGTGCACATGGTTGTTCTGCAGTTAGCTATCATTCCAATGGCTCTTCCGTATTCTATATATTTACACATCCAGGAAATAGTTATACTACTACACACAGGCTTCTCTTCACATTTTGTGTCTGTGCACGATGCTCATATATGAATGTGCTTGTGTACACACGAATAGCTGCTGTCATGTACACATACTAGTCTGCCCATGTGCACAATTTTGTACATATCATCCCTCATCTACGCTTGCGCATAATCACTGGCGTAGATTATAATCTCGCGTGACGTTTGGTAATTGATTTCTTGAAACTATGTGTATGTTTTCGCCACTTTGTTTATTATACTGAGTTATGTTACCGCCCCCGTACGAATATTACATACACACATAATTAAATAACTAACTTTCCGATGCAATTCCAATGCTGTTTTAGTAGTATTCTAGATACCTGATCTGCCACACTTACTTTTGTATTCTAGATACCTGATCTGCCACACTTACTTTTGTATTCTAGATACCTGATCTGCCACACTTACTTTTCGGTTACCATAGGAACGATGAAAGCGAAGACGAAGAGGAAATGGTGAAAGGCCAAAAAACACTATTCGAATGTGGTGCCGTGGCTAAGGTATATTTGTGTGCGAACGGGAAGGGGTCAGTCAATACTTTGGCTCCTGTAAGGGTAGCAAAGGGTTATATCAATGTGCTTATAGTTTAGTAATATCTAGGTGGCACTTCACTATAGCTTAGGCGTGTTGTGTGTGCGAACGGGAAGGGGTCAGTCAATACATAGACACCTGGAAGGGTAGCAAAGGGCTATATCAAAGTGCTTTTAGTTTAGAAACCATTTAGATCGCACTTCACTATAGCTTAGGCGTGTTCCTTGTGCGTTTATCTTTGCTTGTTCGTATTGTCGTCCGTATACTTATTTTAATTTTATTTTCGATCAAAACCCTATACGCACCACCGAAAAAGACGAAGAAGTCACGAAGGCACGCCTTCTTCGATAGGCGGAATTTCAGCCTGGTCAGCGACTTCTAATTCAAAATAGGAGTACTATATAAATATTAACTCCTTTAGTAGCGTAGTATAATAAAACCCACACGTAATTAGAGCGTCAGTACCGCCCCTGATTGCTCACCTCGATCCCACCAGGGAGTAATAGATTTGTTAGTAGCCTGACGTTGAGAAATGATTACAGTCACAGTACAACTCATTCCTTGTTGTCTTGAACTATCAAGATATCAACGATCGCGCAGTAACATTCTCATGTTTTACGTCCCATGCCACACATGTACTGAAGGTTTCAGCACTTCCGATTTCGTATCAACCCGCCCCTTACCATGTCAAGCGTTTAAGTATATGTAGCTCGGAAAAGTACAAAAAACCATGCCAAACCGCTCCTTCCCGCACCATGTTAAACGTACAATGATAGCTCAAAAGAGTACAAGAAACCATGCCAAGCCGCTCCTCCCTGTATTGTGTTATACATGTACTCAAACTCATTTTATCCGCACTATCACAGCAATACAAATCAGCCTGTAGTTATGTTATTGAGAGTATTCTCTTCTCTTTATTTGGTATTGAAACAATACCTCTGATTAATATGAAGCCGAGAAGAGTGATATTCACGAGCTATGTAGCGTAACCACCTCAGCATGGTTTAGTGTCACAGGGCGCCTGTGGATCGCATTAAAACCCCTTGTTGCATACTTTAGTACTCTCATAACCCAAACTCGACCAAATCACGGGGTTTAGGAACATGGCTCGCCGTATTATAAAGCACATGGCTTCCACGCTCGTCTATGTACGCGCACACACAGTATGCTACCACATCTACGCCCGTTTTCGTCACTGCAACATATAGACACGAGTGCAGTTGAACTAACTTCATCTCAGTGGTGGCAGTACACCGTTCGTGCATCTACACATCCCAAACCGTTTCGCTTTCGTACAAAGGTGCCTGAAATGCGAGCAGAGCACTCTATTCGAGCGCAGAAGCCATATCCGCGAAAGCCTCGCGTCTTTTGTACAGACTGTCCTGGATCACACTCTGGTTAACATCGCTGCTATAGTCGGAGATCCACTCGCAGAAGGTGCTGTTGTCTACAGTCACTTTGTTGAGCTTGATGGTGTGGATGGCTGACATTACACTGATAGCGGGCTCAGAGCTTACCAGCTCGTACGTGAGTGTGTGGAGATAGTCGGAGATCTCCAGGATCTTAACTACCTGGACGGTATCGTCCTTGAAGGTCAACGTGATGGTGCCACCAACTGTGGAATTATGTGTCGAAAGGCAATGTGAGAATGTGTTTACACTCGGTTGATGCAAATGATTGTATCTCAAATGATATAGTATATGCCAATATGCGTGTGGAACGATTGTATGCAAGCTAATACCAATCGACGAAGTATTTCATAACAGAGATTCGATCTTCGACAAACACAGTAATGCGACTGAACAACAGACGTTGTCAGCAACGATAACACTGACAATGCGGTGAAAACATGGTCGTGGATACTCAGAAGGAACAATTTTAATCCACAGATATTTAAGATATCTATATTGTCCTCATCATTATATCGTAGCCAACTAACGATCTCGCAACAAAGCATGACCAATATATATATATATATATATATATATATTCTTACCTTGGCCTTCAACTCCAGACACCTCAGCAGACTTAAGAGATGACCAGAAGGTAAACTGACCATTGCGCACTGAGGTCCAGATCTATTGCACAGAAACAAAAAAATTCAGTGATTAGTGACTGTCATTTGGATTTGGTACTGAGCGCCGCAGACACGCAGACTGGTGCTGTACGTGACAGTGAAAACCCGGGGATGAAACATGAACACTAACACAAGACGATGTGGTGTATGTTAATAGAGGTGTCGCAAGTATATGTATTTCATAAGTGAGGTGTCGCGATACTAATCAGCTAGCCTTGTACAATTTGTGATGACAATAGCAATAAGACTAATGCGAGGAGAGAGGGACAGCATAATCGTTGTTGCCTGTAAGTGAAGACGACCTTACGACCAATATTAAATGCTCCAACGTAAAACTTTGAAATTCTAGAAAACTTTGCAATTGACACAATCTCTAAGTCTAGCGGGACCTATACTATTCTTGTTTCAATACTCAGAAGGAACAATTTTGATCGACACCGTAGTTAAGATATCTATATTTTCCTCATCACTGTATTGTGCACACCAGCACATTCATGGCAAAATACCACCTATAGGGCACAACATAATTTTTAAATAAAATCCAGACAGTATAAATTCTTAGAACACAGTCGCTTGACTATAGTCCTCACGCGAGACATCAATACACTGCGCTAGTCTATATTCTGAAGCCATTGTGTTAAGCGCACAAAATAGAAAATACCAACAGCTGGATACATAAGCATAGTCTTATCAATTGCATTCGATTTAATACATTGTTCCACAGACGCCACGCCAATTCGGGTCAGACAGTGATGATTCAAACTTTTTAATACGATTTCATAGAATTTGGCTCTCAAACCAATACATGTCATAATACTAACGTAAAAGACACTATTAATCAGTACGCATACCTGCGCTACTGTATATACTGTCCACACAAGGCATTCACTTTATCGTTTATCGTACATACCTTCTCGATCGGGGCCTTGATGACACAGGATTCGTGTACTCGTGTAGTAGACATGTTGCTTGAAACGGCTAAGGATCGAAATGCTTTTATCCAACGTGGTTGCTAATATCATAAATATAGTCAAGTTGAAGATTTTGTTTCGTGTTTACAAATTCCGTTCCTGGATAATTGTCCAATATATGCAGTAAAGGGACAATATATGCAGTAAAGTGATTTTATAGATCTGTATAGATCTTTCGGATTTCGCATGTACAATTTGTATTGTCACATCTACACACTAGTCGCGCAGTATTAATGTTGTCGAAATAATTTTATTTTATTATATACACACACCATACCATAGCCTAAATGAGGCATGACCTTACGGCATACGGTAAATTAAATATGAAGATCTGTATCCAAGTTGAAGCCCTTTCCCGTTATCAAAGCTAAGTCTCGCCATACAATCGTCAGCTATCACTATAATGCTACTATACAGGAAATAACTATATATACATATATATATATATAAATATATATATATATATATATATATATATAATATGTATATATATATATTATATATATATATAGTTGTTTGAATGAGGTGCGGAATGGTGTTAATTCCACACGACTTCCACTCACGGCGTCCTCTTTTGTGCAAATATGTGCACATGAAGTTTATGTTGCATAAGTCACGTACAATAAAAACTTTTAATATATCTTCAATCTTTCGTATACTATAGCACAATATATAAAATTGCAATACAGCACAGTGTTAGATTTGCGCTTTCAAGCTTGTTAGTCTTATCTGCTGCTGATATTGTATTCTCCAACCTGCACTTATTTCTCTTGCATAAAATTATATGATATCTTTATCGAGGTATAGATTTCTCGCCTTTATGTTACTGTCTAACAATACAGTCATCGTCAAAGAAATTGATGTGGATGTGCTTATGCAGTCAACATACTTGAAACGTTTATAATCGACATAATTTGCCAATTTACTACTATGTGCTTTTACTTTTGCGAACTTTTGTTTTACACAAAACATATGTTTGTCACTATGCACAATTCGGCGTACTTTCTATCTCGAAAAGTGGAATATACTATATTGAGACTGCTTGATTTTATATTTCCACAATATACTCTCGAACAGAAGTATATATGTATCTTATATATAATTTGTGAACTATTGGGACCCTAGGCTTATGCGACTTGTGTGTTTGTAGGGTCTGCATATATGTACAAAGCGACAATTCTACATATATATCCAGAGTATGCGTTTGCAGCATGTCAAGTGCATTTGCTCAGAAGGCAGTGGAGATTTCCCACTCGCCCACTATTAAATTTATTCATACTATATTTGTTCGCCACTCTGAGTTATTTTTGAACTCGTTAAGGCATAAGCACACTTGAGGTGCATTCGTACAATCGGATACCTCGCATTATTTGCCGGTAATTCTCGACTTTGAGCTGTAGTAGTTGCTCTCACATGGTTGATACACATACTATCAGTATGTATTCTAATTACGTTATTATCTTATCACCTCAACATTTCCACAAGCTCTTCCTCGTCAGTCTCAGTACCCCCATTAATCTGCCACAGCACATTCAATACCTTCTCCTGTGCTCTGCGGTATCTTCTGAACGGCGAATCGCTCACTATTGGCGTTGGCATGTTGTGCCTGTATCTATGGCTGACATACAGATAGAAGTCGGTCCAAAGCTTCTCCGTGAATCCTTCATCGTGCATGACCTGATTGGTATTGTTATCCTCAACCATCTCATCGTTCTTCTCTTCCTCGCCGTCGGTATCGTTCTGTTGCTCACCTTCCAATTTAGCCTTTGCTGCCTCGTTCGCTGCCAATTTCTCGGCCTTTTCAGCTTCTTTCTCGGCCTTTTCGGCTTTGGTGTGAGGAATATCTACTACGTAGGCCTCTGGCAGTCGATGGAATCTGTACCCGGCCCCACTCATCTCGTACACTTGCTGCGCAAAGTTGCCGCCGCGATTCACAAAGGTCTCGTTGAACAGGGGAATGGGCATGCGTGCAATATAGTAGGGTTCAAAGCGGGTTAGATATGGAATCTCATCCACGGTATTCGATGTAGCCCACTCCTGATGGTTAGTGGGAGCGTATGCAGGCCCAAAGTATACGTGCATGGGAAGCACTTCTCCTGTGAAGAACATGCTGATCACCTGCTTCTTAGTAATCGACCCATTGTCACCGTTCTGATCGTATAATTGCTTGAGCGCTGTGGCAGACATCTCGACGGCTGGCGGTACAAACGCATCCAGACCTTTACACTCAATCTGGGACTTGTCTTTCTGATTGCCAATGGCTACATCGGCATCCGCAACGTACTTGGTGTACGTATTCATGGGAGCGTTGGGTGTCACATCCGCATCTAATACAAACACGTGCGAAGTCTCGACAGTCTGCAAGGCAATGTTTCTCATCATATTGATGGGGTAGAAAGCATCAGCATCATCCATACGATGGTCTAAGCGCCATACCACATGAATATCTGCAAACTCTCTCAGTTGACTGTCCTCCTTAACCACAGCATCTAGCTCGCTCAACTGCTCTTCATCATCCAAAAGCACAGCAAATGACACTGGGCCTTCCCACACTTGCGTCAGATGCTTCAAATTCATAATTCGGTTCCATGACCCTTGCGAGGATATCGTGATCCCGTCTCGGTCCATCGCTTGTCTATTGACACTAGTGAAAGTGCTCCGGCTGTAGAAAGGGATATAAGCGAATTGCTTGCCGTACAGTGTTTGAACATCGTATTCCCTACCCTCTTCTTCGGCATCTCCGCTCAACACTTTGTAATCGGGTACATCTACTACGTCACATACCCGATTTCCGTCTATCTTGGCTGTTCCAAAGCAATAGCCTCTATTGGGCATACCCGCCACACGCACCATGCCCGGCAAATGGTTGGGACAGTTCATCTTATGAAACTTATTAATGGAACTCATATATATATTGCGTTTTTGCAGCTTTGTGCGTGGAGTGGGCCGTTTTTGATAGACGTGTGATCGCATGTACTCCACATACGCGTGCTGATGTTTCTTCATAAGCACTTGTAGCTTAATTGCCCGTTCTTTTTTTAGTTCTTGAGACACTTCCAAATGCTCTTTAACCATGTGTGGTTTCTGCTTCTCGTATGCACGTGGTTTCGGCTGTACTTGTAAAATTAACGCTTCCTCGTCTTCTGCCTCATCTGCCACGTCTACCATTGTCAGAGGATCAGGCACTTTAGGAACTAACCCGACTGCATTTTCTACCATGGGTATATTTATATTATGTGCGACTTGTTTCTCAAAAAATGGCCTTTCTTGTTCGTTTGTGGTAGACCATAAGGACACGGACATGCCAAGATTGTTGCCATCACTTGCTACGTGATTGAGCAAACTCATGCTACAAAATATGGCAGCACCTATTACACACCATTTAAGAAATAATGCTGTGAACTTATACTTGATGTGGAACCCCGTAGGCGCTAGGCTCCTAATACTGATCTTCATTCCTGCCATGTACATTAATCGACTGTTGTTCTTGTGAGAAGAAGTAGTACAGTCTGTGGGCTCATATACAAAAAGTCAACGTGTGAATTGAAACGCACTAATGACAGTCAGACTGGCTGACTGCTAATATTTTTATAACAAAAAAGTCGAAAACACATCTGCTCCTGTTTACTCTTCTGACTCATTTCTAAAAATCAGTCCACAGACTCCACCAGTCCACCTGGACTCCACACCAGCCCACGACCACTGAGTCCACCGACTCCACTCGAACATGTCGGATTTATTATAAAAAATTGGACTTTTTTTAACACCCCATCCATGTACTAACGGGACCTGATTTTTAAGAAGCAACCCTAATTCACTATATCTGGTTTTGGATATAATCCTAATTTGGGTTTCTAGACTTTTTCTTGAAACATCTCAAAAATATTTCTGCAAAGCTCTACTGGTTCATACAGCTATGTATCGATTTATGAACAGGATTGTGCACTTTTCGACCATGTCAAATCCTGGATTTCCATGTCGCGTATTAGCAGTTTGAACTTTCTGAGGGTTCTCATATATAACAAATGCAAGTATTATTAGTTCAGAACCTATCATTGTGGTATAGAGGGCTTATTATACTTGCTCAAAAGCACCATTCACGTGCATGCATGCCCAGCAATGACATCCATTTGGTGTGCGTGTTCAAATATATTGCTTCATTATGTTTTCAGACTTTCGTTATACTTATAGAAGCATAATCAAACTATAATAATGTTATTGTAATCACTTGTGGGTGAATATGTAGTGAGTTTTGACCAAAAGTTTAGGAATTGAGGTTCATCGTGCAATCGATTGCATGGCACATCAAATGGCGTAAACACACTTTTTCTCGATTTTAGCAGCTGTAGCTTGCATTACGTTTATAAGAATGTACAACCGATATTTTTTTGACAATATCTGTACGTGACAACATGGAAACTTTACTAATTGTGCATATATAGACACAATAATCGTATTTTGGAGGATTCCTATGTAGTGTTAGACTCCGAAGTATAGAAGGTGTTCTGCTTGTACTACGACCTTGGCTCCTTTGCAGGTCATTTAGGAAATACTTAATCTAGAAATGTGCCAAAATATTGGGATAAAATAAAAATCCGGATATAGACAATCTGGAACGCTTCTTAATTTTGGGCCCGATTTGTACCCCTTAGTATATGGATGGGGTGTTAAATACAAGTATGTAAATCTCTTATTTATATGTATCCCAATTAGGCGCGATCAATGCTATTCTACCAATAGGAATTCGAGCGTACAGGATCTTCATCGGTCAAAAACAATCTAAATACACCACGATTTCTTTTTAATTACAAAAAACAACAACGATGACAACATCGACCACCGTTAAGTGACTTGAACGACTAATGAACGTGCATACACATCAAATGAATTGATGAAAGAAGATAAACTATGTTCGATATTATCTATAGTTCTATACAGTATTAAAAGATATATTTACTTGTGTACATAAACAACATGGCAAATTACCGGACGCCACTCGCCAGTCGGCCAGTGTTATTTAACAATTGAAAGGATTGTGGTCTGTAGGGGCATGCCAGCATGTACAGCTTTACATTTCGTTACTTCAGCTGTTTCGCAACACTCAATTAAAATTATATAGAAGTCTCACATCTCTTTAGTCTTTGACAAAAGAAGTAAAAAAATATGGCAATAAATAGCATTTTATAAAGCGAATAGGATTTTGCCTATTGACTATGTACTAAAAGTGGTTACAAAGAAACCCACAGCGGCAATAAACGCACACACATATCACAACCTCCATTTCAGTCATGTCTGTAGCACAGTTGATGGACAGCGGCATTAAGACCACACGCATATCACAAATTCCATTTCAGCCATGTTTGTAGCACTGTTGATGGCCAGCGGCAATAAAAGCACACACGTATCACAAATTTCATTTCAGTCATGTTTGTAGCACTGTTGACGGCATCACCCATGCATTTTTCATAGAATACGCACAATTTGTCTGCATAGTGTCTTCCATAAGTGAGGTGCCCATCGAAAGTCCGTCATCTCATCGTAATAGTAAGTAGAAACACCCACTGACAATGTTCAAATTGACAGTTCATCAAATTAAAACATAGACTACCTGACACATTTTATTAATTTTAGATGCGTTGAACTAGATATTAGGCCGGTCACATTTTAATACTGCAATCTATATAAATGATCATTTCATTGACAGATACACAGTGAGAAAAAAAATTGAATTTTAAAAATCGTCACAAGCTGTCATGTTTGACAGATCAATATGCAAGCTATGCATGATAATCACTTTCTGTTGGTTCGGCATATATTATGAATATGCTTGATATATGTTGAGCGATCACATAATAGGCGGTGTAAGTATAAATGCAACTTTAAATAAATTATTACCACAGAATGCAACCTTAAAATAGCGCATCTTTGAGCAACCCTCTTTTTCAGTCTCAAAATGTTCGCTTTCTTCATCTCGTTCGCCTTGTCTCTTTCTTATTCTTATACACTGGGGCAGCCTATCTGCATAACAACAGATGCATCATGTACTGAACACACGCTTGGCTGTTACGAAAGGATACTCGGAACATGCTTCCCGATAAGTCCGAGTAAGTATGTATAAAAATACAGATTTTGATGGTATTTTTCCTGTAAGATTGCAAAGCCGTGTGGTGCTAGAGTAAGTTACAATATAATGGTTTATCATAGTATCGCGGCAACGAAAAGTCGATCTTCAAGCAACATCTTATAAGAAATTTCTTTAATACTCATCTTTTACTGTTGTTACTCGATACTTGTAGGTATTTCGGGCGTTCTGGTCCAAGATCTGGAAAATGCTTATAGGGTCGAATTGTATGGTGGCCAAACGTGCGGAACTCGTGCTTTTAGCGTTGCTACAGAGGTCGACGGATGCACGTACATGGCATCCGTAAATGGAACCAGCGCATATGTATCAGTTAAGGGCGATTCTTTTGTGATACCAGGAATGAGTTCCCAAGATGATCTCGCGGCAGATGTTCAACCCTCTGACAGTTCACAAAACAGTGGGGCGATGCTGGTGAATAGTCCAAACAACGCTCCAGATGAACTAGTGCCGGATTCCATTGTCTTGGTGCCAGCTATCGGTACTTTCATTGCGCTTTTCTGTTAAACTCCATTTCATCTCATATGGTCATCAGATACAGCATCTCAGCGTCATTCTGAATGGCCGAGGGGTAGGAACAGGTGGGATAGGGTGGCTGGCGATTGGAGAAGTTGAGTTGCATGGACCTGGGCCACTTGGGGAGGGACACCTTTAGCAATTCTTGAGGGGTATACTAAAAATTCTTCAGGTCATGATGTGATGTATGACTGTATGTGTCGGTCTTAGTCAGAGACGAATGACGATGATATCCACCTGATTCCTGATTCCAGATTCGGATTCCCCTCAAGCTCCCTGTCCAGAGTCCAGACTCCAGACTCCAGACTCATCAGAGTGAACTCCCGACATTTTACATTGGGCGAGCGACATGACAATGATGCATTGACGATACACATGTCGTGAGACGTGAGGTTATTTTATAGGACATGTCTGTCGGACATGATGTCATCGGGTTTGATAGGGGCTGCATCGCGATTTACATCAAATATAGCTAAAAGTCATGTCATGATCGCTGTCGTATCCAATATGTCGTATAGACGTGGACCAACTATACCATAATTTCTGTGTTTTTTTTGTTGTTTTTTTATTTTAAAAACCATAATGTCCTTTTATCAAAAAATAAAATTTACAAACCCTCTAGTGCAGTCTGAAGAGACGAAGAGTCTCTTCAGTCTTCTCTCTTCTTGTTGTGAAGACTGAACTCTGAAGGCTGCCACCTGCCGAGTGTCGGGTGCCGGACGAGTGCCTGGCTGCCTGCTGTTAAAAAAACAGTTGTTTGACTTGTGTTTCTTCTGTTTCGAGTTTTGCAAAAAGAAATATCAACTGCAAATACAATATCTCTCATATCCTGCTGAAAAATAACATCAGCCAATAATCTTTACTTTCAGTTCCACGTATACCGTACAGCTCGCTTATTTAGCAGTGGAGCATTCCGGAGTTAGCTTACAGATAAATTGTTAAAAAATTCATACCTCACAGGCTCAAAGGCTCAACGGCTAAACAGACAACGGCCATTCGGCATTCGGCATCCGGCATCCGGCCAACAACAATCAAACTCCAAATCCAAAAATCTCCTCAAACGTCACAACAGTATCGAATAAATTCCCAACCGTTTTGCAGTTTGTGACTTTGTGTACCGCCGCACTACATACCGTAGTGCCGGCTACCCGCCAAATACATGGGCAAATACTCTACATCAAGCCTTGTAGGCCTGCTCAGTGCTAAGTCACAAGTAACACTACTAACCACATAGCCTGTATTATTTAGAAGGCTATCCTGACCAGTGTCTTCAGTCCCCTGTAGTAACTAGTAACTTATGCCTTAATAATTAGATACTCTATATTCCTCACTCCTCTCTATGGTCTATGTAATGTATAGCCTCTCTAGTCTATATAATAATAGATACGGCAGGGCACACTGCACACTGCACACTACACAGTGAAAGACTGAAAATGCACACAGCACACTATACAGTGAGAGACTGAAAGTGCACGCTGCACACTCGTTACAGTCTCACAGCCTTTTATTTATTTAAGTTCACATACTTCAAAGTTCACAGTTCACCACTTCTGACTTCACACTCCAGTGTTCACAGGTCACACAATAAGTTCACATAAAAGTTGTCGCACATTTAATATGTAGTAGTTTTTTTAAAGAAAATAGTTCATACTACAATCTACAGACCACATACAGCTTTTTTAAATACTTAACGAATGTGAGTTTCTATAAATAGATTGATCTGTTCTGCTTTCCTACTCATTCGTCGTCGCTCGATATTTGGTTGCGATAGTACCGAACATGCATCTAAAAAACAAAATATATCATAAAATATTATGACCCTCTAATTCTTTTAAATATTTACATACTCCGCAGTCCTCTATCCTTATTGCCACAACGGACAAATATATAAATATATATAAATTATTAAAACGTCCGTAGGACCTGTCCTTTCATCGTCACAGAAAAATTTGTCTGATTTAAAATAATAATATAATAATCTATGTATTGTTGTATCCAAGAGGACCTGAAACATTGTGTCTGTTTTTAATGTAAATATATTTGCAAGACACTACGGATTGAAGTCAAATACGGCTTGCAATGGATGGGGGAGAGAGCCAAAAGCTGTCGCCATGGGCAAAAGGATTTGTTGCGGGCGTGTTTTTCTGCCAGGTGTGTATTCTCACTGCTGCAAGTCTGTGTGCCTGGTCGACATTAACTCTTCTGCTTGCTCTGCTTGCATGTATATCTTATGTATATTAATATATTTGTATATATATATATATAAATATATATATATATATATATATATGGAGGTAGGTAGGTATGTATGTATGTATGTAGGTATGTACGTATGTATGTATGTATGTAGGTATGTATGTATGTATGTATGAATGTATATATGTATATATATATATATATATACATATATATATATATATATATATATATATATATATATATATATA